TCTCAGTGTGCCCAGAGTTGTGAGAACTACCTGTATTTTCTTTATTTATTAAATTTACCTGCTGCCCATCTCACTTTTGAGTGACTGGATTGTACCAATGGCTTAAGGGTGCTAAGAGGACAGCCAAGCAGGTTCTGTCAGAGGCCCACCATTCCGATTAGGGGAATGGGTCATCATTGGCTAAATTAAAAAAAAAAAAAAACCCTAACCGGATAGTATTTAGTAATAAAATATTTGCAGCTCAAGGTTGACATGAGGAGTCCTTGATGCTCTCTGGGCTTGGTAGTTTTCTTGCAAACATTTCATTGCCCAAATGAGAAACCTCCCTATAGGTATATAGTATTTAAATACTATATACCTGTAAATATACCTCCTTATAGTATTTAAATGGGGACAGTGGCAGGAGATTCCCTTCCACCCTGCCAAAAAAAATAGGTTAGGGTCTGGACGGTGAAGAAGAAATTGTACTGTTGTCATGGGTTTCATGACATCACTTTGCGTTGAATTTTTGTGCGGCTGGCCGATGAGAAATCTACCCACTGTGCTGCTATACGTCTATGAAGATTCTCAGTCATTCAGGTTGTCTGAAGAGCTGAAGAAGCTTCTTGTATGAGAAGCGAAACCGTCTTCAAAGAGGCGGGGGGAGGGGGGATGGGGACCAGAAAGTCCAGTTGCACTCTTGGAGGGGAAAAAAACACAACCCTTTTGGGATACTATCCATGGTACTGTTTGTTTTGCTTCAATAAACTTTCCAGAAAAACATTCCAACAACAACAGAGAAATAGGTTAGGTAAAAGAGAGCTGGTTGGAGCAGTTTTTCATTCTCACCCAGGCCCACCTCACAGGGGTGTGGTTGCAGGGTAAAGAGGAGGAGGAGGAGGAAGAGGAGGAGGAGGAAGAGGAGGAGGAAGGAGCATTAGATAGGCCTGCTGCTCCAAGTTATTTATACAAATAATAAAAAGTGGGATTTTTTTTTAAAAAAAAATCTAAATAAATAAATCTGAGGTCGTCTCTATCTGAGGATAGTTCTAAATTGGCATAATTTTAATCCATTGAAGGATTTGGGGAGGTTTTTCTTCCAGGAAACTCCTAGACCGAGATTCCGTAATTGACTCTTTCCTACCACCCCCCTCCCCCCAAAATAGCATGCCATCTTTGGAAAGGAGTTATTTGCGTTCATAAGCACATTTTGTGACCAAAGAAGGAATCCCAATGATCTCCTTTATTTACTGATCAGTTTTAGCACAAGGATATTCCAACCCTCCCTTTTTAAAACAAAAAAACAAAAACCCAGCTCTTTGTCTCCTCCTATTTCTCAAGGTGATTTGGAGGGTGGGGGAGGTGAGGAAGGGAAGGGGTTGGCGATGGTTAAATCATACCTTTAAACTAACTCAGCGTCTTCCAGGGGGCATCTGCAATTCGTTGAACATTCGTTCAAAATTCATTGAGATTTTGTTCAAAAAAACCGCCTGCAAATCTAGGAAATTATGTTAGATTTACGAGTCAGCTTGAGAAATCTATTTAGAAAATAGAATGGAATGGAATGGAAGAAGAAGAGGAAGAGAACTGAGTAAGGAATAGAATAAGGAATAGACATAGAAATAATAGAAATAGACATAGAATAGAATAGAATAGAATAGAATAGAATAGAATAGAATAGAATAGAATAGAATGAAGTTTAAAATATAATAGAATGAAATTTAGAATCAAATAGAATAAGGAATGGAATGGAATGGAATGGAATGGAATGGAAGAGGAATCGAAGAGGAATCGAATAAAGATTAGAATCGAATCGAATCAAATAAGGAATAGAATGGAATAGGAATGGAAATAGAATAGAATATAATGAAGTTTAAAATAGAATAGAATGAAATTTAGAATCAAATAGAATAAGGAATCGAATGGAATGGAAGAGGAATAGAATAAGAATTAGAATCAAATCCAATCGATTAAGGAATAGAATGGAATGGAATGGAATGGAATGGAATAGAATAGAATAGAATAGAATAGAATAGAATAGAATGAGCTGATTACGGACCTTGGAGGTCTTCTAGTCCAGCCCCGGCTCAAGCAGAAGAACCGATATACTTATTTTTCAGAGAAGTGACTGGATCTAGGATCACTTTAGCGGGCTGCGGGAAGCGGTTTTAGATCGATGGGAAACGGGGCGTTTGGATTCTTGCCATTCGGCTTCAAATTGATATTCAAATTAATTTAATTCGTTTAAGGATGAAACCGAGATCAAAAGCCGAATAAATCCTTGGGAAAGTAGAGAGGAAGCCCCCTTTTAAACCCACCCAACCCCACTCCAGAACCGATCACGGAGCAGAACCCGCTTTTCCAGCCTCACATCGCGCGCGGAACTCGGAAGCAAGGGCGTTAACGGAACGGGCCGTCCGACACGCGTCTTGGCTCCTTCCCGGCGGG